GGTGGTTCACACCTGTAATCCCAGGACAAAAGCAGTAGAATCTGCTCAAGGCTGAGGCCAACCTGAGCTACAGAGTAAGACCTTGCCTCTAAATCATTAGCAGCAAACAATAACATTTTTTTCTGGATACAAGTTTATGAAGCACAAAATAATCCTCTCTAGCATTAGGATCTGGTCATGAACATGGCAGATGTACCTCTGAACAGCCTAGTCTTTCCTGTCAGGCTCAGGGACACAGCACCCCCTCAGTAGATATCTGGAGTTTCCCCTCTGGTGAGCCTCCAAGGTTCTTGTTCTCCAACCCTTTGGACCAGGCCTGTCAATCTTAGAATGGCTTCAGCGCAGGGTAGCAGGTGCAGTGTGGAGTCAGGTGGAGGTAGGTTCAGAGATGCTGGCCATTCTCACTGGGAAAGTACCAGTAGAAATACTTGCAGACGAGCCATTCTTTCACAAAGCCTGGGGACTTAAGAGATACAATGCATTTGCTGCTCAAAGGCCACAATATTCTTGTCTGTGTTCCAGGTCCAGCATCTTTCTCAGCTACTTTCACTCCTTTCTTAGAAGGAAGCTGTGAGTGTCAGTCTAGTTCTTGCTGGGCATTAATATGGTGCCTGATACAAAGGGTAAGGCTCTAAAGGAAAGGCATGTCTGAAATTAATTTTAAGAGAGTCTCATTCTGTAGCCCAGGTTGTCCTGAAACTCATTCTGTAGCCCAGGCTGGTGCTGGAGGAAGGCCGCTTGTTTGTCCCAGCTGCCCACACCCAAAATAATTACACAGAAACTGTATTAATTAAATCACTGCTTGGCCTATTAGTTCTAGCTTCTTTTTGCTAATTCTTACATATTAATTTAACCCATTTCTATTACTCTGTGTATCACCATGAGGCTGGGGCTTACCGTATAAATTCAGGAGTCTGTTTCTGGTGGGGCTACATGGCTTTTCTCTGATTCCGCCTTCTCTCTCCCAGCATTCAGTTTTCCTCACTTGGCTAAGTTATGCCTTGCTATAGGTCCAAAGCAGTTTCTTTATTAATCAGTGATAATCACAGCATACAGAGGGAAATCCCACATCAGGCTGGAGTGAAAATCAGAGCAATCCTCCTGTCTCAGTCTCTCAAGGGTTGGAACTGTAAGTGAGAGGCCATGCACTGTTCCTTGTTTGACCCTTTTATTATTTATTTATTTCAGATTTTCAAGACTGGGTTTCTTTGCAGCTTTGGAGCCTGTCCTGGAACTAGCTCTTGTAGACCAGGCTGGCTTCAAAGTCACAGAGATCTTCCTGCCTCTGCCTCCTGAGTGCTGGGATTAAAGGTGTGCGCCACCACCGCCTGGCCCTGTTTGACTCTTAATGAGAGAAAAGAGCCTATGCAAAGTGATCATTTTAAGCAGAGGTCACCCGTGACTGACAACAAAGGTGATACTTTTTAAATAAATCTCTTTGAATCGATTAGGTAGTCTTGTAAAAAAATATTAAAATAAAACGTTTGATATTGAAGCACCTTTAAGATAAAAGGAGCTGCTTGATGTTAGTTACAGAAAGAACCAGGTCCTGGGACAGATTTGTACAACTCACAGAATAGATAGAATAGATAGAAATCGAGAAAGATCCCTGGGGACAGGAATGGTGGAGCAACTTGTCCAAAAAACAAACAAACAAAAACAAAAACAAACCAAAACAAAAAACTTGGAAAAAAGAAATTCCCTTTTACTTCTATTTTACACTAACTACAAAATTTCACAGCTGGACGTAGCTCCATTGGCAGAGTGCTTGCCTCACTTGTAGGAAGTCCTGGGTTCCATCCCCAGGACTGAAGAACAGGTGCAGCAGTGGAGGTCAGAGGACCAGGAGTTCAAGGTCATCCTCAGAGAGACAGTGAGTTTGATGCCAGCGTGATATTCATGGGACCCCTCCCCTTTCAAAAATATTTTTAAGTCAATTTTAGAAAACAGTGAGAACTAGACATAGAGGCACCTGAGTGCTAGCCTGCAACTCACTGGGTATTCCAGGCAGGCCATAACTCTCAGATCCCGTTGCCTCGGCCTCCAGAATGCTGGAGTGATAGGCATATGCTAACCTGGACTACATAGTGAATTCCAGGCCAATCTGGGACACATACTGAGTCTATGCCCATGATCCCAAAAGAAACAAAACAAAATGAAGGGGGTAGGGAGATGGAGGAGGAGGAAGAAAGAAAAATGGGCAAAAGATGTTTACAAGCACCCAAGAGAGAATATTCAAATCAGCAATAAATATGGAAAAGGTGATCAGCTTCATTAATCAGGGATATGCAAATTAAAGCCAAAATTAACTCTGCCCAAGAAGCCAGATGCAGGAGAGGACACGTTGTCTGGTTCCATTTATAGGAACTTCTAGTGACAAAAAGCGAATCAGTGGGCGTCTGGGGGTGGAGATGAGTGAGACCGACTGGCAGATGGGGAGTGACTTTTGGGACGATATAAATGTTCAATGTCTTGGGGTAAGGAATTTATGATTTGGCAGCAGTCCTTCACAGGTACAATTAAAGTGGGTGTATTCATGGGTATGTATTCTATACATTAATAAATAAACTTAATCTTGGATCAGATTCAATCCTTATTGAGGTACTAAGGTAGGGTGAGTCCTAGAGCTGCAGAGTCTATGGCCAGTCTGGGTAATACAGTGTGATTCTGTCTCCAAAATTAAAAGAAAAGAGGAGTTGGGGGGAGCTCAGTCGGTAGGGGGTTGGCCTATCACGCTCGAATCTTAGGCTAGACCCACAAAGGACTCTAGAACTGCATGCCTGAATCTACTCGAGAGGTAGAAGCAGAAAAGGTTAAGGGGATCCTCAGCTAATAGGGAGCTTGAGGCCATCCTCGACTATATGAGACCCTGTGGAATGGAAGAAGGGAGGGATGGAGGGAGAAAGGATGGATTTTTTTTTAAAGCCCAATAAGATATCACTACATTTTCATCAGAATTATTAAAAGTGGAACTGGTGAGATGAATATATATGTATATATATATGATATGTTTTTGGCTATATGTATATATGTATATCTATATATATATTGCCTAAGATATGCATGTTTTACCAAAAATATCTACAAAATAGCTCACAGTAACAAATATTTTGAGACATAGGTTTACACTGTAGCTCAGCTGGCCTTGAACTTTCATTTATCCTTTGCCTCAGCTTTCCAAAGGCTGCAGTCACAGGTGTATGCCATTGTGACCAGCTAGATAAATCTTAAAGACATTCGTCTAATTAGTTTTCTGTTGCCACAATAAAAAACCACTCTAATCAAAAGCAACTTGAGAAGGAATTTATCAGGCTTGCACTTCTACGTCACAGTCCATCATTGAGGGACATTAGGACAGAAACTCAAGCAAGAACCTGGAGGCAGGAACCGAAGCAGAGACCATGGAGTAACACTGCTTACCTGCTTGCTCCCCATGACTTGCTCAGCCTGCCTTCCTACACAGCTCAGCACTACCTACCAAAGGTCGGCACCTCCCACAGTAGGCAAAACTCTTCTCCATCAATTAGCAATCAAGAAAATGCCCCACAGACATGGTCACAGGCCAATTTGATGGAGGCAACTACCCAACTGATGGTCCCTTTCCCAAGCTGGTAGCCAAGAATAACCATCACGATGTAGAAGACAAGTGATTAAAAACAAAACTGAACATATTTTGGTTCTATTTGACTAAGGCACCAAATAGTCTAAATTAATTTACAGTATTAGAAATCAGGATAGAGATCACCTAGTTGGGGGTGAGGAGAAACTAACAATCAGCAGGGCTTGTGATTTGTGTTTCTCTTAGATCCTTACAAATTTAAGAAAATGAGTAAAATTAAGATACTCTGTTAACTAAGTTACTATGTTTTGATAGCATTAATTTCATTTTGAGCTTTCTCTTAGAGCATAAGCTATATCTTAACTAAGGGTCTGGCTGACAGTCACCTTTGACAACTGTGTAACTGATAGTCAAATGGGCAATTTTACCTCAGGTCATAACCCTTTCTCTCCAAAAATTGATACCTGGGGATAGACATTTCCTGAGACTATCAATTCTAAGATTTTGGACTGACATTTGAGATACTCAGCACAGGGAACGTGAAGGCAGGTGAGTCAGGAATTCAAGGCCAACCTTAGCTAGACCACAATTTTTAAAGATTTATTTTATTTTTGATTATATGTATATGTGCGCCCTGCAAATGGGTATATGCATAGGTGAATGTAGATATCATCAGAGTCCAGAAAAGTGCACTGGATCCCTTTGGAGCTAGAATTACAGGCTGTTGTAAACCAAGTTACATGGGTGCTGGGAATTGAACTCTGATTCTCTGCAAGAGCATGCCCTCTTAACTGCTGAGCCACGACTCCAGCCTGGATACAAGTTTGAAGCCAATCTGGGAGACATAAGACCATGTCTAAAAAAACCAACAAAACATTTGTTTTATACAAGAATTACAACTGTGAGACTGAGGAAGTAACGCACAGACTGAGCATTAGAAACACATTTGGTTATGTTGTTAGCGGAGTGATGGCGTATGCCTGTTAACATTCAGGAGGCTGAGGCAGGAAGATTGAAAGTTGAAGGCAACCATCTGGGCAATATAATGGGCTTCAACTAACCTAGACTATAGAGTAAGGAGAGGGAGAGACACATACACACACACAGAGAGAGAATGTTATGACATAAATAGCCTTGCAGTTATTTTGCTGGGAAAACAAAACAAAACCCTGATCTATTAGAAACACATACGTATGTGTTCACTAATGAAATTAATGGCTGATATTTGCTTTAAAATAATTCCCCAGAACAAACAAAACAGACAAAACAGTAACAAAAATACAAATAAAACAAATCTCTGGACAGGAGAGAATTGAGCGGAAGATTGGCATATGTTTATTAATGATGGGAGCAGCTAATAGAAAATTGAGGGAAGATTATTCTATTATCTATATTTTTGCAAATATTTGAAATAGTTTATTTTATTTATTTTTTAAAGGTGTAGTCCACGCTGGTCTCAAACTGGTGATCCTCTTGCCTCATCCTCTGGCGTCTGCCCCCTGTCAAGAGCTAGAAAATCCTTTTAAAGAAAAAAAAATGAGGCAGTTCTCAGACACCTTCCTCAATAGGAAGATGATAGACCGCGCTGTCTTCGCAGAGACGTCTAGAGCAGCAGTGGAAGACAGGTGCCGTTTTGAAACGCTGTCTGAATACCTGCAGTTTTTGTCCTGGCTGCCAGCATAGTCGTTTCTTTGCTCTCTCCGCTTCCTTCCTATGGTTCCCGCCGCCGCCCCTCCGCAGCCGCAATGGTTTAGCCCGGCTTCCCCCGGGGAAACCCCTTGGGCGGAGCGCGGTCCCCGCTGTGAGACCACTTGGATCCCTCCGCGTCAGGGGTGGGCCGGGGAACCTGTGGGCCGGGCACGAACTCGGGCTCTGATTGGCCGACGCAGGAGTAAACATCCGGAGAGGTGGGGCGGGGCCGGAAGTGGAAGAAGAAGGCGGCGGCTGAGGCGGTTCAGGAGGTTTTTAGAGCTGGAGTCCGAGGCTCAGGTGCCATGGGCCTGGTGAAGGAGCCCTGAGGGGACGCGAGGTTGGGCATGGCGGGCGCTCGGGCCGCCGCCGCCGCCTCGGCGGGGTCCACCGCCTCTTCGGGCAACCCGCCGCCTCAGGAGCCGGGGCTTGGGGAGCTGCTGGAGGAGTTCTCCCGGACTCAGTACCGGGCCAAGGACGGCGGCGGGACTGGCGGCTCTAAGGTGAGCCCCAGAGGTGCAGCGTCCTGGAACTGGTCCCAGGCCTGAGTTACTGAGGGAAGACTACAGTCAGGGATGGGAGGAAAGCGGGAAGGGACCTCCCTGGGGAGGCATAGAGGAGGAACTTATCCAGGATGTGGACTCGGAGAGTAAGGGTCCGGCTTAACACCAAAGAGAGTACCAAGACTCTTTTGTTTTGTTTGGGGGGGGGGATACTTTAGACAAGGGGTTTGGAGGTCAAGGGTCGGAGCTGCGGGCCAGGGGCAAAGGTTAGACAGTAGGAAATAGGGAAAATTACTACCCTTTATGAGCCTAGAAGGGGTTGCAAATAGTTAATAAAAACCTCTAAAATCAAAGTAAAAATGGAAGAGAGATTCCTCCAGCCCAGAGATCAAAGCAGGAGCCCAGAGAGCAGCTGAGTTAGTCGCCTCCTTATAAGGTGCCAGCATGGCTTAGGCCCTTCCCTTTCCTTTCCTGTAGAACAAGAAGACAACCCACATTCCCTTTCTGTTCCTTTTATCAGAAAGAAGTTTCTGTTGCACCCTCCCACCCCCGGAATTTCCCTTTGTTCTAATTACCAGGCGTTGAAAGCTCCTGGTTTGATTGAGACATACCTCTGCACACTGGTAGACCCTACCCCTTCTCAATTTCAGTGTGGCAGCTTTGTCATTTCGTTTACTTATTGGTCTATCCTGGGCCATAAACTGGTTTGGCTCCAGAGGTTACCTAGGGGCTGGGACATGCTGTAGATGGCATCTTCTATTAGTCTCAGGGGTAAGCTAGGAAAGATCAGTAATGATGGGGTTGTATCTCTCCAGATTAGCTAAGTACCTTTCAGATTATAATTGGTATCGTTTGGGGTGCTACTTAAACACAAAAGTTTCTTAGTCTTAAATTCTCTTAAGTCACAATTTCTGGTGGTCAGACCCTAGAATTTGTAATGTGTGTGTGTTCAGATAGGTCTTAAATTTGTTATATATCCAAAACCAAGTTGTGCGCTCCTGATCCTCCTGTCTCCACTTCCCAACTGCTGGGGTTACAGGTGTGCACCTTCATGCTTGGTTTATATGATGCTAGAGATTGAACACAGGTTTTTATGCATCCCAGACAAGAACTCTACCAGATGAGATACATCACCAATCTTGCCTGAAAAGAGACATGGTCTTTCTCTGGGGCCCTGGCTTGGCCTCACATTCATTATGTATTCCAGGATGGCTTGTAACAATGATCCTCTTGCCTTGGCCTCCCAAGTACTGCTTACAGGTGTGAACCATCACACCTGATGTCAAGGAGACTCTTTGATTGCTTGCAGGAGGTATGTGATTTTGACGGATCCCACCACCCTCTTAATGTCTGAAGATTTGAGTTTTACAAGCTAAACCTTTTCACATAGCTGATCCTAATACTGCTCCAGGCATCATGGTGTCTTGCAAAGTTGTTGATATATTACATGTTGTAAGCTTTTCTTTTAGTGGGCTTTTCTCTGAACTGTGAACAAAAGTAGTAACTTTAGAGGGAACCTTGCCTTCAGTATTATAAGCAGATGGTAGGGAAGGAGCCAGCTGTCTGCAGCTTTTATTTTGCTGACTAGAGCTGCTTTATTTTTGTAAGAGTTATTGAGACATGGTCTTGATACACACACACACACACACACATATCCTAGACTGGCTTTGAATTTGGCATCCCCTCTGCCTCAGCATCCTATGTACTAGGATTACAGGCATGCCCCACCAGGTCTGACTGACAAGAGCTTCAAATATTATTAGCTTGGGGCTGTAGAACAGGAGAGGATCTAGTGTCAAAGAAATGGAATGTGTTAATGCTCTTATAGTAACCTAAAGCTAGAGTTATTGCTGCCTTGTTTTTTGAGACAAAGACTCACTATGTAGCCCAGCTTGGCCTTGAATTCTTAACCCTCCCGCTTCAGCCTTCGTAGTGCCAGGATAACAGGCATGTATCACTACATCTAGAAAGAATTTTTACATCTTATGAATGGTGGACTCTCTCCAGTGTTGACTACATACTGCGTGTGTGTGTGTATGTGTGTGTGTGTGTGTGTGTGTGTGTGTGTTTTCAAGATAGGGTTTCTTTGTACAGCTTTGACTGCCCTGGAACTCACTGTGTAGACCAAACTGGTCTTGAACTCACAGATCCCCCAGGCATCTGCCTCCCGAGTGCTGGGATTAAAGCGTGTGCCACCACCGCCGGGCTGTCTACACATAGTCTTACATACAGCGTGGATGATAGGTTTAGATACCTTTCTGGAGCATATAACGTGAGTTAACATAGAAGGGCCTATGGCCCAGCATCATGTTTCTTTCCAACATTGAATGATAATCACAAAAGTACTTGTCACTTCCAGTGGCCTCTTTGTTCATGGGCCACTTAATTCTCATGACCTCAGATCCCAAGAATCTTCTTCATGCTCAAGTCTCCTTCTCTATGCAGGTTGAACGCATTGAGAAGAGATGTCTGGAGCTATTTGGCCGCGACTACTGTTTCAGCGTGATTCCAAATGTGAATGGTGATATCTGCGGCCACTACCCCCGCCACATCGTATTCCTGGAGTATGAGAGTTCTGAGAAAGAGAAAGACACGTGAGCATCCTGTGACCATAGTGTGCATGTCTGGTAGACCTGAGAAGCTCATCTCCAGGGTCAGGAAACTGGGCAGGGCATGCTCGCTTTCCCAGGTGGTGTTTAGTTGCTGGCATCTTTGTTTACTTATGACTTTGAGTTTGACTGACAGGGTAGTGCGACATAGCATGAGAAGTGGAGTCATAGCACTGGATTTCTCTTTCATATTTGACTTTATTGACCTAAGATAACCAACACAATACTTCACTTCCCTGAGACAACCTCAGTGCCATCTTTGTCTTTAGTTGGCATAGTTAGAAGGAATGATAACATATCAAGATAGACTGTATTTTATTGAGGTAGGGTATCGTAGCCTGAATTGGCCATGGGCTCTTTGTGTAGCCAACAGAATGATCTCTAACTTCTGATCCTCCTGCCTCCACCACCTAAGTGCTGGCATTACAGGCTTATGCCGCCATGCCCAGCTTTCAAAACAGGCTTAAAAGTGTTTGCCATGTGTATGTTTTAAGAACTTAAGGTCTAAAGTCACACTGCTTGAGTTAACATCCTGGTTGTCCATTTTCTGACTATGTAACTAACCCTAGGCAAGTTATTCATCTTCTTTGTCCTTAGGATTTCATTGGTAATTCCAAGCCTCATCATAATTAAGGCTTGCAAAGACTAATTAAATTTCTAGAAAAGTGACTAGTGCAGTCCCTGATAAATGGTACTAATACAAGTCTGATGTGTTTGCATTAAGAATTAAAAATAAGAGCTACCTGGTACACTAAGGTCTTACACAGGCTTGAGTGCTTTACATAGGTTAACAGTTCACAGCAGAGGAGACTTGAAACACCTGGTACAGGAGTCTTTCATTAGATAGTCAGTAAAGGGTAATGGTTCTTTGTCACAACACTGAGACTCCATGTTTGCTTCCAGTTTCTTCACCTAAGTTCCCTGCTTGCTGTTTATCTTAAGGAAGTTCCAGGAGCCACTATGTAAGCTTGGCCCTGTGGATGAAGGGTGATGGATAGGCTCCTGTCCTCAAAGCAATGCCATTAGACCAAGACCTAGGGAGAAGCAAGGACTTTGGGGCTCTAGAGCCAGGGGGTCAAAAATCACAGCATATCTAAGTAATTCATGTGTGGTCAGTGTTGAGAAGTGCTGCTGTAGGCAAATGGAGAATGGCTAATCCTGTCTGGTGTGTTTGAGACAACTTCATGATGGAAAGCCTGTGCAAAAGGGTTTGGGAGGTTGACAGTGTATCCCCAGAGTTCTTAGGGACAACTTTTGAATAGGCTTTTACTTTTCCTTTCCCCTGCCTTTTCCTTCTCTTCTCCTTGTCCTTCCTTCCTTTCACCCCTTCCTTTCTTCCTTTTCTCACCTTTCCCTTTCCTGCCCTTCTCCTGTTTTGTTTGCTTTGAGACACTGTAGGCCTAGCTGATCTTAACTCTCTGCCTCAGCCTCCCAAGTGCTGAGATTACAGGTGTGAGCCTCTATGGTTAACTTGGTGTAGCATCTTGATTACTACCAAGGAGTGTGGACTTTTGGGACTTGTAAGGATGTTAGTGCTTTTCATCAGTAACACCTGCGTACAAATGATGAGTACAGATTCTAAGATCCACTTAGGCCTTCTAAATCAGAATTTCCACGTTCTGCATTTTAGAACTCCATAGCCAGATGTGGGGAGAGATGGTTTACAAGTAGAGGAGATTAAGAATGAAGGCTTTGTTTTCCTCATGTTCAGTGATATCTAGACGAGTGTCCACCTCTTGATGCCCTTGAAAAATTAGCATATTACTCTTCTGTGAAGATCCTAGAACTGGTATCACATCCTCCCTGGGCATCTGTGCTTATTATAGCACCTTACAATACTGTTCATAGTTTTTCTCTTCCTAACTGCCCTTCCAAGGGTAGGGAAACTTAGCCTTTTATAGTCCTTTAAGGTGGTCAGTAAGTCTGTGTCTGTCTCTCTCTCTCTCTCACATACCCTCTCTGTCTCTTCGCTATCAATATTGTCATCCATGTAACCAAGACTGACCTTGAATTCATG